AATCGAAAGTAAAATGTCTGGAAGTAGAAGGTTAAGAAGATCGAAGGAAAGAGAACGAGAATAAAAAATGATTTGTGTGAAAACGAAAGAACAATGAATTCTGAAACAATTGACTGACATTTTACAAATGAAGTATTTACTATATGGCTCTCAGAATTCAGTAAAAGATTCTGTAATTTTGTATTAAATTACATTTGGTTATCTCCGCCTGTATTCTTGTTCACTACAACAAGTGTTATAAGTTTAAATAATAAAAAAATACTTATGACCACTTGTTTGACTCTCTGATGTTTTTAGTTAGTATTTTAAAATGTTAAATCTGTGGTTATTTATTCTAAGGATATTGACATCCAACGTCAGTTGCTCATATTTACTTACGCCTGTAACCCTTCATGGAAGAGCATAGGTCGCTCACCAGTAGTCTCCATCCAACTCAGTCTTGGGCGATCCTTCCCAGTTGTTTCCACTTTTTATTTATCCTATTCATATCAGCTTCCAATTCCCGGCCTTCCCCTTTTCCGTTTGCCTTCAGGATTCAAAGTTAGCGCTTACCTCATGATGTAGTTTCATGATTTCCTCAATGTGTGTCCTATCTACTTCCAACGTTTTTTCCTCAATTTCTTCCTTAGCTGGAAACTGGTTTGTTCTCGCCCATAGTAAACTGTTGCTAATAGTATCCGATCAACAATGGACATTCAGTATCTCACGTAGACAATTGTTTATAAATACTTGTACCTTTTTGATGATGGCTATGGTAATTCAGGAATAATCATTATATTTTATAAAAAGTAATTAAGTAGTATATTTTAAGCGTCTATTCTATTTCACTTATTGCAATAAGAAGTTTAAAAGATAAACACTTTAAAGGAACTTGATGGTTTTCCCTTAACTAATATAAACTTTACATATAACTCATTTTACACTTCATTAATGTTTATTGTAATGTTTTAAACAAATCCCAAAGTCTAGTCTAGATTCATAAAACGTATATTGTTATTATTATTGTTATTTACCCGGGTAGAGATGCTGTACTATTCAATGATGTACCTTATCCTAAAGTGGTATTACCTGAAAAACGAATAAAAACAAATTAAGTGTTATTTAGAATCCCTAGTCTATAATAAGTTTAATGTTTCTTAATTTTTAATCATTCTCCAATGGTATTACCTTAATGGAAGTGACCTTCATACATCCAATTAATCATTTTACATTGTATTTAAAATATTACAGAAAAATCAAATGATCATGATAACAAATTAATTGGTACAATTACTACATTAAAACATTAAATAGATCTATTATTTTCAATAGTTAGGTTTTGGGTTCGAATCTCGTGGGTGGCGAGATCGTGGATGCTCACTAGGACGAAACGGCCATCTAGTGCTTTCAGGTTTTCCATGGTGGTTTAGAATCAATTGACTCATGATTTCAACTATCGAAATTACTAAAATCTCCACAAACCTCCTTCAGATCTATTATTCTTAATAAGGCAAGACTATAATTTATAGATGAACCAATCAGATACAAGATAACGAGGTATGTATTTTGGCGCGAAATTCACTCATGCATCTGGTTAAATAGAGTTTTAACATTATAGCTGATATCACTTCGTGATGGAAACTCTAACCCTAAACACCAACTGTAAAATATTCTAACTGGTTTATAACCTTTATTTAATTCTACTCAGTAGGTGTCTATTCTTAAGATCATTTCAGTGTCATTCAAAGGTTGTGCATAAATTAGAATCTTACCCTTAATAATATTTCAATTCTAATATTCACTACTAGTTAAACGTTAAATAAATGTTGAATAACAATTAAATCCGTAAAACTTTCAACTATCATAAAAAAGAATTCAACGAAGAAAATGTTCTTTTCGACGGAATCATTTACTCAAACTGTACATTCATATATATATATGTCTATATATATATATATATATATATATATATATATGTCTATAGAAGGATAGAAAAGAAAACATCACAAATTGATTCAAAACTCTTATTATCAAATGACGTTATGGCGATAATAAATAAGTAAGTAAGGAATATAATATGTTGAACATTTCTCCTGGAATTTTGTCAAACAAACAATTTTTTAATTGAGATTATGAACCAATTGATGTTAGACCATCATCGAAAACCTGGAAGCACTGGACGGCCATTTCGTCTTATTGTAGGACTCTTCAGCAGTGTGCATCTACGATCGCTCTCTCAGGGCTTTCAGTCTCGCGCGAAAGTTTAACCTACTAGACCATTGAGCTAGCATCCACTGATGTTAGTGTCTAACCTCAACCACTACATGAAATTGCACGACCATCTCCCATTATACTGAGGTAGATATCGTGTCGGGTAGAGACAGCTGCTTCCAGATTTCCAACGGTGGTCTAACATCAATCAGTTCATGATCTCAATCAAAAATTTAATAATTTCCATAATCCTACACTGATACAAATAAATTGTTGAATCCAACAACCTTTTGACTATTTTTTCTGTACCTATGATTCTTATAAGCAATAATATTATTCTCATTGAATAGAAATTTTAGTAGTCATATTAAAAGAGATCAAGTAATTACTAACATATACTTAAATAACTTATAACTTATCATCAAAAATTATTTTGTTCAATAAACGTATAATATGTCACAATTGATTGATCACTGGGTGGTGATCAATTTCATGTGTATCAAGTCCTTCTTAGTACAGATCGAATGCTATCAACTAAGTTGCAATGTGGTCACTAGTCTAAGTGACTTGACATAGCGTACACTAGGGAAAAGAAATAATGACTTAATTATACACATTTTTGCAATGACTTACATATTTCTAGTCTTTTATGAGTAATTCATTATCAAGTGGACACATCGATTTATATCCCTTTTAAAGAAATATTCCATAGATTGATTTACTCCATTCCAATCTATTTTTTTCTTTTTTTAAAAAAAATTTTTCTATGCTATATAATCTATTATCTTATATAAGTTTAAGTATACACCTTGTTTCCGATTATAAAAATCGGTACCTGTGATCTTGAATGACAATAAACGGAACAATTACAAAACATTTTAAATATTTGCCATCACTTTAACAATAAAACAAATGAAATAACATATGCAAGGAGTATTCCTTTTTAAGAAATTTAGAGCAATTAATCCCTTTGATAAATGTCGATAGTGTAATATAAAGACAAAGGTGATCAGAATTATGTAATGTATTAGCGTAATACATTTCCAACAATCTGATCACATGTAAAATACTTGTTAAGAACATTTATATATAAAAAGAAATGGTCAACCAGACTAGAAATGAAGGATAAGAGAAGGCAAGGATAATAAATAAAACAACATAAAAACAATTTTAAACTTTATCACTCTGGATAATAAACTATTATTAACAGGGTAGATTCAAGTATATATGTGATCAAATTGGTTGAAATGTATTACGCTTATATATTACATAGTTTTGATGATCTTTGTTTTCTTATTACACTATGAAAAAACAAAAATGAAGTAACATTTAAACAAACAATGTATCCGTAAAATATTCAAATATTTATTTTAAAAGAAGATCCTATTTGTTATTTTGAATTTACCACCGTGGTTACTAAATTAATAGTTAAATGAATATACCAATTCAAGTTAACAGAACTAATCTTTATAGAACAGTTATTACAAACTTGTAATTATGTAATACAATTGTAGTGAAGCAGAGCACTGATGATAACAACCGAATGTATTTAACAACAAATTACAGAACTAGTTAGTAAAATCCAACAACCACATATTAAATGCTCAATTTGCAAATTGTTCATCAATTGTCTCAAATGACTCAGAATTCCTTTGTTCTTGCATATTCCTACAAATCGCATTTTTTTAAATTCTTTATTGTTTGATTTTCTCGTCTCTCTGCTTCCAGACATTCTGTTCACTACTCACGTCATATACTACTTATGTCTACATAAGTAGCACACACCACACAATGTTCATGATCAATTATCAATTGCATCCATTTTACACAAACTCTTATTTCCAATCTTTATAAATTTAACCTAATATAACAGTTATATTTAGTCATACATTTGAACCAATTATATATTCTATAAAAAATAGTTAATTAATATTAAGAATATTAATTATCAAATATTTTTTATGTCGTCCTAGTATGAGACTCCTCAGCAGCGAACGTCCACGATCCCACTCGCTGGATTCGAATTCAACATCTTTAGTTTTGCTCATGAACACTTAACCTTTAGAAAACTGAGACAGTATCTAAAGGTGGTAATGTCTAATTCTAACCAATCCACGAAATTGAGCCACCGCCCATCACTGTCTTTAGTGAGTAATTGACTCTACAACAGACATGGTTAAACTCTACTGGTCACAGCTTCTCATTAGAATTTCAAGTAACGTACGTTGAAGCTAGTCACTAGTGAACACATGATAACTATTATCAAAAAGGAGGATTTTTAGAGACTGTAGTAATTTATGAGATGCATGAAGTAATCTTAATTACAGTGAATGAATATATGATTGAATTGAAAGTAATTCAAAAAGTGACAGTGTCCTGTTTTTTTTAGTTACAACTAACATACATAACTTTTGAGATTCCTTTCGTCTTTTTTTTCTTAATGAATGATAGAACATAGAATTCATTGAAATAAGATCAGATTACAATTAAACTTTAACGAAGTGACTAACTGTAAAATTCTGTTTATATTAGTGACTGAATTTGAACAATTTTGTATTAGAACATATACTTAGTCAACGGCTATCATGACTCAATAGTAAATAACGCATAGTAGGTTAGAGAATATCAGCATTGAGATGCTAGAACATACATCTGACGGGTTCCAAATGGTAATAAATGAATGTTCTAAATTCTAAGACTATCCAAATTTTAAAAAAATATATTTATTTGAATTCTAAGTTCAAGCTGCCACCAAACATATATTTCGGCTTTATACGATTGTGCTTCTAACAATCTGATAAACAGCTTACCTCCGTTGTTCTTTTTCCGATTATCGATATCTTTAGTTAATTCATCTTTTAATTTAGATTTCGTATTGTTAATTGTATTTCGATCTCTTTGACTCGTAACATCTCCACCTTCTACATCATCGTTGTCATCATTATCATCATCATTTTCACAATCGGACAAGTCAGTTGAATGATTATGTTTTAAATTCACATCACCATCTTCCTCCTCTTCTATTTCGTCCTCCTCATCATCATCATCACCATCAATATCATCGTCATTACCGATATTATCATTTTGACCATTTAGTTCACGACTATCACTAGTGCCTTTCATTAACATTTTATGAAATGACGTATTCATAGTATTATATAACAACATAGATGGCGATACTGTAGGATTATTCTCATGAGTACACGTTTTCATTGTATCTGATTCATGTTTATTTATGAAATCATTTGAAATACATTTTGACGTTACTACTGACGACAATGATACTCCTGGTTCTGTGGTAGTAAGTGTCGTTGTCGTCATTGTCGTTGTAAATGTAGTCATTGCTGACAACACTGAATTTATTGGCACAGAATTCAAATAGGTAAAGTTTACCGAACCTAAAATTGTTGAACAATCATCGACTTGATGAATTTGTTCATTATTATTACAGTGATTAGTGTTATTTATACATTGATTATTTAATATACAAGATGATTGAACTGAATGAAGTGATTCATAACTGTTTAATTCAGTATCATAATTTATTGTTTCATTTGATAGAGTTGGACATGCTTCACTAGACGACTCCTCAGGGCTACTAATGTTATGAAGATGATGATAAGGACGTGAGTCAATATCTGGCATATAATTTGATATTTTGCTATTATTATTATCATTATTATTAAATGTTGAATGTTGTTGATCCTGACAATGATGGTGATGATGATTATGATGATAATCAATATTTAAAGAATTATTTAAATAAGATGTCATTAAAGGTTGAATAGGATATGATTCATGAATTGTAGAAAATGTATTATTACTGTTGTTACCTAATTGTTTATTAAGTAAATTAGGTGTTGTGGACCATAAATTAGTAGGCAGTATTTTAGAATCTGTTAATGTGCAATCATAGGACGATGGTGATGATGATGATGTTGGTGGCGATGATGATAATGATGATGACGATAATGAAGATGATATTGATAATGGTAGACTATTGGGTTTTATTGAATGATCATTTATAATACATGATGATGATATGATATGATTAGCCGGTGGCAGAAAACATTTAGTATTTACATCTGTAGTAGTCCCATTTACATTTGTACCATAACAATCAATATTATTATCTGTTAAGCATAATTTTTGATTTGTTCTAGAATCTGAATACAATTTTAATAATGTATTTTTATTATCAATGTTTGTAGATGTTATACAATTAAGGCTAGGACTTGTTGTTGTTGTACTAATATGTACATCAGTAGTAATTGTTTTATCAATTTTATTACTAAGATTAATAGAAACTACACCATTAACATAATTATCACTTCTTGTAGGTGATCCAGGATTGGATGTCACTAACCAATGATCATTTCCTGACAAATTCATTAATGTTTGTGGAGAATGTTTACACCAATTCTCAGTGGATAATTCACTTGTTAAATGATTATTACCAGTTGATGAATTATCATAATGAGATGATGTAATCACATTTGATTGTTTAAGATTAATTTGCCTTAAATTTGAATTATTTAAATGATTATCATCAGATTCATGAATATTATAACATTTAACATTATTTGCCGATGTAATTGTTGTATTAGCAGTGGTAGTTGTACTAGTTAATTTTAATAATGTCAAATGTGTTGTTCCAGAAGGACAGTAATTATTCAAACAATCCTGTTGATTACGATGATGATGTTGTTCTATTTGATGATGATTATTATTATTATGATAAGGATTATTATGTCGAGGATTATTTGGAAGTACATGAAGAATAGATTGGGTCCCATACTTCATTGATATATCATTAAAATCATGATGATAATGATTTGTATAATGATTATTATGATTATGATTATTTGAGTTGAATGTTGTCATTGGAGCTATTGAATCATTGATCTGATCAACTTTAAATTGAAGTGTTTTATAATCAGAATCAACATAAGAGTATAATAAAGCTGGTGTTCTTGAAAAATAGTCTCCAGACATGTTAAAAATATTAACAATAAGAATATTATTATTAGTCAATAACCAGTACTACTACCACTACCACTACTACAGGGATTATTCCATATCTGATAATTATACTGTAATGAAATTAATTAATTTTCCTGAAGAAGAAAAAATATTTTTTCTATAGTGTTTGAATAATTTCAATTACTTCTGTATTCCTTGTTAAATCACAGAATGTGTGTGCACATTATGATATGTTCAGCTGTAATTACGATTTATTATTACTATTAAAAATAATAGTCATTACATATAAGCACACACATATATGTGCATTTAGTCACGATTCCCCTCTGTATATATATAAAATAATTCTTAACCAACTGAATAAAATATAAAGGGGTAACAAAAGTGTAAACCATTTGTCAGAATATCTATTATCTTAGAATTTGTGCAATATTCAATAATTTTGATTGGAATATTCATAATATTCATATTTAATAACCAATTAAAATTATTCAAAGGGAACACAAAATTCACAAATTGATTTCATTGGACAATTAATATTATTACTAATTGTGTATATTTTGTTGTGAAACCCTTACATTAAACATATATTATTATATATTATATATATATATATATATATATATATATATATATATATTATATATATATATATATATATATATATATATATAATATTAGTATTGTATGTGCAATGTAATTATATTTTTTATCAAAGTACATTTATAGTGCTAATAGAACTTTATATGATGACATACAATTAAATATTAGCCAGTTATTAGACAGTATCTAGTGTATTATAATTAATAAGAAAAGTTTGTATATTATACATTGAAGTAAATTAATATAAACACATTGCTTAAAAACTTTGGACGATATTATGTCTATTATATATATATATATATATATATATATATATATATATATATATATATATATATATATATATATATATTAGGGATAAGGTTCATGCGCTGAATAATTAGAGCCTTTTTTCCCATGTACTAAAGTATTACTAACCAATTTTATCATTTTGTTATTATTTTGTACTTAAACGTTGTGTATTTATGAACTGAATCGTATTAACTAAGGAAATAAACAGTTTTAAGAACATTTAAAGTTATGAACCAATATTTTAGATTATGGTTATACTGTAAAATGAAAACAAGAAAATTTACAAGATTAACTTCTACAAAAAAATTAGATTGTTGGATCAATGAAACTGGAAGATTTCTCATATCACTTATTAGAATAAATTTGATGAAAACAATGATTATCTTATGTTAATTAATCATTGAGTAGTCAGTCAGTCAGCTGCAATGTAGGACCAGGCACATATATACACCGGTCCAAGTTGCCATACCGCATTAGCACAACAAGATGAACACCAGATTCATAGAAGTAGTCACATCAAAGGTAGTAGTATATAAAAGAAAGATTGTGTATTAGGATATAATACAGGAAGAAAGAATTAGTTCGTAGAAAGAAAAAAATATGAAGCGATTTTATTCTCTTAGTTTGAAGGATGACAGAGAGTATATACACCGACGCCATTGTGATCGACTCTGAGCCATGTCACCAAGTCTCCAACCATTGGTTACGATAGTCACGCGGACCCCAACCAGGCAGTCTGCATCTACCAACATGGTTCAGACCAGAAGTTAGTGACTTCAAGCACTGATGCCACGTTTTGGTTTGGCCGCCCCTAACTTTCTTCCAATCATCCCTAACACCGGTTAGCATTGCGCGTCGTGGTAATCAGTGTTCAGGCATACGCAGCACATGGCCCAACCATCTCAGTCGATGAAGATTCATAACCTCATCAACTGATATACCATCATTCCCTAATACCCTGCGTCTAACCTCACTATTACTTACCCGGTGATTCCAGCAGATACCCGCAATATTTCTAAGGCATCTGTGATCAAATACTAGTTGCTTACGAGTATCTTCATCTCTTAATGGCAATGTTTCGCAGCTGTATAGTAGAACGGAATGAACTGCCACACAGTATACTCGTCCCTTAATTGATAGACGGATATTTCGCCTTCGCCATAGATGACGTAAGTTGGCAAAAGCCAAACAAGCTTTTCGAATCCGTGTTGAGATCTCGTCAGACACCAACCCATTAGGGCTGATCAGACTTCCAAGATAAGTGAAGTTGTCAACGCGTTCGACTACTTCACTCCATATCCTTAGTTCAGGTGTTGACGCAGACCAGTCCTGAAGCAACAACTTGCATTTAGAGGGAGAGAAGCGCATCCCAAACATTCTGGCATTGTTGCTCAGTGCTACCAAAAGACTCTGCATTTTATCAGCGTCTTCAACAAACAGGACTATGCGATCTGAGTATTCTAAGTCAATAAGTGGACCTCCTGGTAGGAGATCGACGCACGAGAATTCAGTCGATGAGAGCGTTGAGTAACCAATGTCATATGTGTTATTCATTCTATGACTTAAATTATAATATGTTCGTTAGTAACGCAATATCACATGAACTATTTTATAATGAGCGGTTAAAAATAGTCAACAGGAAATTCTGAGTATATCTTTTGTGTTAGATGGTATTCATTTGTAAAGGAGAAAAATCTGAATTCTTTAAGAAAATTACGATAGTAAATTCTAACATAGTATCCAATAAATGTAAGAATCTCTGTTCAATCGGAGGTCAATCGAAGTTCCCATAACTGATTTTCAATAGTATCCTAAGCAAATCAATCCTTGAAGAATACCACTTATAGATTAATCTAGTTTTAACGAAATGCAGACAGTTATATTCAGTTAAACTTAGCTACGCAAATCAATACATGACTTTTCATCTTATATATTTAAGATTTATTATCCCTATTGGAATTCATTTCAGTATATTTATAATCATAGTCACAAACGAATTTAGTATATTGTAAAACCAAAGTACTAAGATATTTTTGGGTTCAGTAAAATAGTTTACTGAAGATTTTGTCCAATAAGTAACACTTTCATCATTAAACCAATGAACTACTGAAAACCTAACCATTATTTATTTTTACTGGTTGAAATCATGAGTCAATTGAAGCTAGATCACCATGGAAAACCTGGAAGCACTGGACGGCCATTTCGTCTTAGTATGGGACTCCTCAGCAGTGCGCATCCACGATCCCACTCCTCGAGAGATTCGAACCCAGGACCTATCAGTCTCGCGCAAGGCGCTTCAATTTACTCATGATTTCAACCAGTGAAATTTCTAAAATCTCCACACAACCCCTTTTGATATTTATTTTCAATTTGTGCTTTTTCATCCCTGTAAATTTGTAGTTATACAGAAAATAAAAGCGTTAGCCTTCAGACTTTATGAAATTAACAATACCAGTTAACCAATTCTTGAAATTTTAGCTTTTACACTTTTTAATTTACAATAAAGGGCAATCCTTGTCTAATATTATAGATGAGTAGCTGTTTTACTTCTTAATTGGTTGTCAACTAAGGTAATAGCTTCTCAATAGAAGTCCCGAAACAACCTTGAGTTCTTTGAATCAAGTAACACTTTGGTCGTGGGACATCGTGTTTGATACTCAATGAATAGAATAAAACCTGATACATTGCACCTTGTTTGGAAAGGTTATGTCTTTGAGAACTATTTAGTAACTAATCAATATAAACATCCCAATTTCGCAACAATTGGATTCACTGTCAATGTGAAACTAGGTGATACCGGTTCACAGTAGTTATACTATATATGAAGATGATTAAATAGGATTACATGTTTCAAATTAATCCTAAATAATTACTTTTTTAATATGTTAGGTATTTATAAAAATTAGGAGTGTTTCTTGTGAAATTACGGCTTAGATTATTCAAATGAACGTTTAACAAGTAAGGTATTGATGCTCATAGTGAGTTGATGTTCATTACTCTTAACTTCCATCATTAAAAGAAGATGGAATAGATAAATTACTCAATCTATGATGAATACTATAACACATAGACAGTAACTCATAATGATATCGCATCATAAATATTAAATTAATTTATCAAATTAATTATCTTTCTTTAGATGTACATTACTTTATTTCTGTTGATTTTCTTAATAATATTTTTTTTAAAAAATGTATTCAAATGAAAAATTAATCAATAATTAACTCAATCTTTAATCAACCAATCAGAATTATGTAATAATTAACCAATCACATTTATGAGCATAATTATTGATATAAAATAGAGAAAATTGTATGAGAACATTTTGAGTAGACCTTGTATACAAATTTGTTTAAGCTGTTTTATTGTCTATGGAATTAACTTTATGAATAAAATTAACTCATACAAGTGATGTTCTCATATCAATCTATATCAAACAACATCAACAGCAACAACAAGAAAAGAACATTTTTAAGTATTCAATAAAGTAATTGGAACTATAGATTACTGTAAATGTTAATGATTGTAAATTTATAAAAGAAAAATGGCATTTTACTAATTATTTAAAACTAATTCTAAATATGAACAATTTCAATAGTCCTCATTACATCAAAGTTGTTTAACTATTAATTACACTTTTATCATTAATATATGTATATATTATAGATCATGCCACAACACAGAATAATGATAAGTCGATCTTGAAAACATAATGACAAAAATAAAATTTTTTGATCTGATTCATTCTAACAACTAACATTGTGAAAATTACTTGGGATCATCTAAAATTCTAACATTCATTCAAGGAATAGTATGGGGATATACTTTATAAACATTATTCTTCGAAGTTCGTTGCTCAATGATTGATAAACATAGATTATCCATTTTTTTAGGAAAATAAACAAACAAACAAACAACGTTTCTTAGGATATTTCGTATTTTTGTTTGTATATATATGTTCACTAATGAAATATAGGAGAGAATAACTGGAATTATTTGTTGAAATCGATCTTTGAATAAAAGTTTATTCACTGGAAAACTATGTAAAAAAATGCAAACAATTTTGTAAACTATATGGCTTATTATGTGATTAAACTCAATCATTATGTTGAAATGAA